ATCTTAACCCTTTGACGACCGCGCGCTTTGAACGTGTCTAGCGTGTGAGGCTGCAAGCCAGATATGCAGCCCGCCGGCGGGCCATACCTTCTCTGGAGACTGCATTTTTGCTTAATTATAGCAGCAGTGACTAAACTGCAAACTTTCTTTGGAAAATCGCCGTAGTAATCAACCATACGCTCCAACGCAGATGAAATATCAGCAAAGTAATGAAAAAGACCAGTGAAAAAGGGAAAAGGCCTCAGAGTTCATGTGTTTTGATGGTACTGTAGAAGTAGCAGCTACCCAAAACAATTTGTTTTCTTGCACAAAGCTTGCATTCAAAATCGACTAGATTTGAATACAAATGCTTCTTCCAAGCTTCTTTCTTTAGCTAGTGTGGTATAAGCAACGTTATTCTATAGACGGTTACTACCATACGCTGAATTCCAATTAATTGGCTTCGATTAAAGCGCTAGTATAGTTAGGCTGTTTGACAAGGCAGCCATCTGCTGCACCTACCAGAGCTCCCTCTTTTACTTACATGTGTTACACCTATTTGACAATAATTTTCACATTACCGAACAATTGGTGGAGCCTTCACCCCATCGGCTAAATCATGCAAGCAATATAAATATTTAGCAACAATTGGCACAAGATAACTACTCGGTTTCCAAAACCACCCCCTGCGCTGTGTCCTCATTCTGTATTGATAAGTTTTCGCTAATATAGGCATCTGAATTCTTTTTGTTCCTATTGTTTTTGGGTTTTTCCCTAGAAAAAAGCAATGCGTGGACCATTGTGTACATAGCCTTGTTAGGGTGTTGTCTACAGACTTAGTAATTGAAAATTCCAGAAATGTTAAAGGGGAAATACAAGAAACTAGTTGCCGTGGCCCGCCGGCGGGCCATACGGCCCAAAGTGACCGACTTGGAGTGATCCGCCATAAAAAAGCATATTTGTTGGTTTCTGAGGCACTGGTTGCTAAATTTCACCACGGAATTTGTGTTTGTTTTGTATAAACAACTACGATCACTTTTATTGGTTTATGATTGAGCCGTTGTGGAGAGCAGAGAGCGAGGGCATAATTTTACACCCATTTTAAGACCTAGTGAAATAGCTCCCGCAGAACCATTGGCCTCACTGGAACAGTAGAGAACCCCGAAGGATTTCATGAAAACAACGAATTTCCTCCTCAAATTTCGCCCGAGTCTATGATTTTTCATCCATTTTGGATCCAATAATTCCTTCCAGACTTGAAAGAACAAACATCAGAAAATAAAGAAAAAATTTTCAGATATAATACCAACAACATAATGGAAAAATACAGCAGTATGCTGCCAAATATTTTTGTAGAAAAGAATTAGTCAAAGAAAGCTAAGTATGTCTCCATCCAGAAGTCCATCCTACCCCAGCTGTCAAGCTTGAGTACTTCAAAAACTATTACTCATGGAATAAAAGGACAGACCGTCGCCGAGTATGACGTGGGTCACACTTTCAGGCAGGAAATGGTTCACCATTCGCCTTTTTGTGACACAGGGTTTTCTAGCAAAGCCTTGCGAGTGTGAAAAGTATGCGAGAGTCTCCGACGCAAGGACGGCGTCGGGGGGCAACTAAGCTAGTCCACAAGTCCTGCAACGGAAGATTCGCGTTGCGACGTTAAACCCTGGCACGTTGACGGGCCGCTCGTACGAATTAGCAGAAGCTCTAGAGCGCCGACGGATTGATTTCTGTGCCGTGCAGGAAACGAGGTGGTCCTGCTGCAGATGGAGAGTATTGGACGAGGCTTTAATGCCGTTTTTTGTGGCGGTCCTAGAACCACCAGAGGGGTCGAAATAGTTGTTTCTGACCGCTTCCGTGACTCGATCGTAAGCGTTGATCGTTTTGACGACCGTCTAATGAAGATTGTTGTCGTAATCGAACGTAAGCGATACCACTTCTTTTCTGCATATGCTCCGCAGACTTGCTGCTCTGAGCCAGCCAAAGACGAGTTCTGGACCCTGCTGGATGAAAAGACCGCAGATGTACCGTCAGAAGAGGCGGTCATTGTCGCAGGTGACCTTAATGGTCACGTCGGCACTGCGAAAGACGGGTACAAATGTCATGGCGGATTTGGATTTGGGTCACGTAACAACGATGGCGAACGAATTCTTGAATACGCAAATTCGCACGATCTTACCATCGTGAATACGAATTTCCGTAAACGTGATTCCCACCTCATCACCTTCTACAGCGGTACTACCAGAACGCAAATCGACTATGTCCTCGTCAGGCAACGCGATCGAGGGCTTGTAACAGGCGCAAAAGCGGTGCCGTATGAGACGTGTCACCACGCAACATCGACCGCTCAATTCACGCTGAAGATCGCTCCTCCAAAATTGAAACAAATCGAGCGGTGTAGACCACCGAGAATCAAGTGGTGGCGTTTGAAAGAGGAGGCGGTCGTGATATCCAACATTCAGTTGCCGGCAGTCACTACTGTTGATGAAACTTGGAAAAATGCTGCCGAGACGATAATCCGTTCTGCCCGTTTCAAACTCGGCACATCAAAACCTGGGCGACGGAAGATCGACAAGCAAGCGTGGCTATGGACGGATGATGTTAAAGAAAAAGTACGTGAGAAGAAGAGGCTATACCACGTATTTCTTGTCGATAAGACTGTCGAGGTGAAACTCCAGTTTGGGGGGGGGCCACTCCATTGCTCTCTTATCCGTAGTACTAGAGAGCAGTGCTTTTGGCTGTCGAACACTACGGATAAGATAAGAAGTGAACGACTCATTTCGAGCGTACTTTTGATAAGGACCGGTGGATGTCCTACATTCCACACTACCTGCCCACATCCCATCCACTTTTCTGCACAGGTGATCCACCCTGGAGCTCCTGCACCCTTAGCCCTTTGCGGAGGTGTCCTTTCTCCTGGTCCAGGACGGTTTCCCTGGACCAGACAGGCGAAAATATGGAATCATCTCAGGGTTTCTTCCACATTACACCGATACTTATCAGAAGTCTACTTTAAATGAGTTCGTGAGCCTCTAAGCTTATCGTGAGACTGCGACAAAAATGGCAGTGACCCCGACTGGAGTTTCACCACTGTACAACTGGCGAAGTTATCAGGCAGCTAAGAATGCGACAAAGAAGGCCGTTGCTACCGCAAAAGCTGCCCACTTTGCTGATGTTAGCGAGAAGCTCGAGACGCGCGATGGTGAGCGCTATGTTTATCGTCTCGCCAAAGCCCGCCATCGCCAGTCCGAGGACATCAAGAAGTTTTTCGGCATCAACCACGAAAATGGTAACCTCCTGACGGACCGCAAGAGAGCAGTGAAGCGATGGCATGATTACTTCGAGAACATCTCAGCTGAAGAATTTGCTCATCCAGCAGTCCCTTATGTCCCGCCAGTGCAAAGTCCCGTGCAGAGAATAACCGTGCAGGAAACGGAAAGGCTCTGAAGAAGATGAAGTCAGGAAAAGCTACAGGTCCCGATGATTTGGCGGCCGACATATGGAAGTCAAAATGCTGGTATCCTGCTGAATGGTTGACCAAGTTTTTCAACCAGATCGTAGCAGAGAGAAAGGTGCCTGAGAGTTGGCAGCAAAGCACAACGATTCCGATTTGAAAGAAGAAAGGCAGCCCTGCCGGCTGTACGAGTTACCGTCCAATCCGCCCGCTCTCGCACATCATGGAGATCTTTGAGCGAATTGTGGATTGGATGATGAAATTAGTGGCCGTATTCGTGACATCGTGCAGCTTTCCATCAACCAGTGTGGATATGTATCAGACTGCGGCACCATCGATGCAATACATGCCGCGCGCCTTCTGTTGGAAAGACATCGCGAGAAAAGAAAAGCTGTGCATTTTGCCTTCCTGGGCCTGGAGAAGGCTTGTGATCACGTTACTCGAGAAGTCATTTGGTACGCTTACGACAGCACGACCTTCCTCAAGAGCTCATTGAGTGGGTGCGCATACTTTACTCGAACTCAAGGAGTCGGGTGCAAACGGTGGCAGGTACTTCGATGGAATTCCCCATCTCGGTCGGTGTGCACCAAGGCTCCGCGCTTTCCCCACTCCTACTCATTGTCGTTATAGATGCCATTTCGCGTGATCTTCAGAAGCCCGCTCCATAGACGCTTCTTTATGCTGATGACGTAACGCTCGCCTGCGATGAGAAACATCTACTCGAGCAACAGGCACAAACCTGGTCCGACCGTCTGGCCATTTTTGGGCTCAGGTTGAATGTGAAGAAGGCAGAGTACTTGACCACCGATTTGAGTGAGTGAAGCTCGATTAAGTTCAGTGGCACTGAGCTCACACGTACAATTTCATTCAAGTATCTTGGGTCGGCAATCGCGTCCGACGGCAGCCTGATCTCTGAAGTAAACTTCCGGGTGAGTGCAGCTTGAAAGTGCCGCTCGATGACCGGCATTCTCTGCGACATGGAAAATTTCAGAGCGACTGAAATCTAAGATCTACAGAACCGTCGTCCAAACAGTCGCCATTTACGGAGCAGAGTGCTGGCCCATGACTAAAGAGGTTGAGGCTCGTCTCAGCGTAATGGAGATAAAAATGCTGCGCTGGACTGCCAGGCTCACGCGTTTGGACTACATTCGCAACGATACCACCAGGAAGCGGTTCGGTGTGGCTCCCATCGAAGCTCGCTTTAGGTGGTACGGTCACGTCCTTCGCGCTAATGATGAGAGTGTCCGTAAGACCGGTCTAGACTTTAACGTGCCAGGAAAGCGGCCAAGAAGACGCCCGAAGCAACGATGGCTTGGTACGTTGTATGAGGATTTGAAATTAGTTGGCCTTCACCCCGATCAGGCACATAATCGGGAAAAGTGGCGTCGTAATACCAGGAAAGCGGACTATGGTGGGACAAACGCTATAAAATAAGAAGAAAAGTTGACGGAAAGAAACTGGATCATTTTGATTTCTATCACCTGGTTAAGCAGCAGCTGCTGGTGACAAACACACATTTTCACTTTGATCAAAATCGGTAATATTTTGAGTAAATCTGACTCACTTTTCTCGGTTCACAATCTATTATTATCACATCATCATCATCATTGTTCGGAGGAGGTGGCGGTGGAGGATCCAAGATGATCACCTCACCATCTTCCAACATTTCTATAAACAAGAAAGTATCTCTGTAAATTTTTGCAACGAGATCAGAAATAGCAAGCATTGGACTTACACTTGCTAGGATAAAAGATTGCTGAATATATGTATCACAAACGGGGAAATTCGCAACCGCAAAGACATTTGTCGTAATCAGTTTACCAAACTATGTCTTGACTGTGATATTTTGGCAGTGCAGGTAAAAAGGGTAATTACCTTCACTTCGTTTCTTAGCCAATCTGGTTTCCTTCTCCCGTTTTCTTCGCCGTTCCTCGAGTTTCCTTTCATGCATTTTCCTCAATTCTTCTTGATGGTAGGCAACAAATTCATGAAATGGTGGTACGCGGAAGTTCTCGTACTGCAAAATTGTGTATTGGTGCGGTAAATCTTTGATGTAGCATGCAGGAAAATGGAAAACACCAACATCTCGGAGATCGCGATAATATTGGTTGAATCCACAATAATAGATCATTTTGTCGGCATTGATTACCGGCGGAGGTGAATCTGGTCGTTCACGCCTTCCATCAGCGGGCAGGTTATCTTCCACCATATGGAACTTCAGTACTTCATTAGAATCGTCACGATCAATCGCTCTAAAGAGCTGTTTAGAGGTGCAGCAAGGTACGGAAAAGATGTCCGAATAAAGAAGCAGCAAGACTGCTTACACTTTTAGTAGATAAGGCGAATATACTGCTTAATAAACGCAATTGATACGCTATGCACCGCTAACTTTTTTCGGGAACCTTGGAAATTTAGAGAGTTTAAATCAGTAAACTTTTACATTCAACCCAGCCCTTACGCCTGTATGCTTTGATGTAAGGCTCTAATTTTCAATCGCATGATAGTACCTTTTCGTAGGGTAGATATGTATCGACCACACATGCGATCGTATAATCGCTCTAATCTATACCGAACTGCAAAAGTATGTTTTGTTCTAGGCCACACCTGACAGGTATCCAGTGGACTAGTACAAAGCCATAACAAACATCCTCGCAAGACACTGAGATAAGGTTCAACCAAACAGTTGCATAAAGAGGCGTAAATTTAAATCCCAAAAAATGTTGGAAAAGCGACAGTGTCGATAGATACAGTAGCTCCAGTGCATGAACCCACTCACGCCTTTAAGTGTGAAAATGGGAGCAAAAGCCATGCCAGCCAGCATTGTTCCAAATGCCCGCAAGTGGAAAAAATTATGGGAAACTCCGAAGAAGATCGGATGTTAATGGTGAACTTCTACTTTCCTAGTAAATCTGATGAGCATGTGTAGTGTTTCCAGGAAAAGTCATCAATGCGAATGCGAAAATACTACGGAGTACTAACTTGAATGGAACGCTGGTAACCTACTTCAATTCTTCAATGTCTTGGTTACCAAAATTTGTGCTAAAATACAGCTGCACTAACCATAAACAGCAACAAGAATCAAAAACAGGAACCGCCCTGAAGTGTGGCGTTTTCACACTTGAAGGCGTGGGTCGTGCTTCCGCGCAGTTCCTGCACCCCTTGAATGAGGCCTCGGCAGCAGAGTCAACCCTGCGTTGCGCAGTTCGCAACGGCACGTTGAGAGATCCTAACGCACATGGTATGGGCGAAGACGCAGACGGCTCGAGCATGCGAGTGTGAATGTTCGCGCGAGAGAACGTGTCTAATCGGGCAAAACTGCGCAACGTGACCGTTGAGAACTGCGCAACGCACGGTTGACTTGCTCGGCAGCCGCCCGCAACAATGAGAGTACTACCAACGCGTACACCTTCGCCGCGGCCACACCTCCACGGAAAGCCACGAAGCCCAACAGGAAGCGTGATTGTTGTACGACTACCGTATCACATTATCGAAATTTGAGCAGAGTTGACTAGGTTTGAAACAAGAGAAAATGGTAGCGAGGGTGCTCCAAATCTGAGAGCACTTACACTAAGTGGAGTTATGTTATAAAAAATAAATTTGTGCGGCTCCGCGACTTTTGCGGGTGCCCGACTGGAAGCCGTCGCGCGACGAGAAGACAGAGACGCAGACGGGTCAGTGGACAAGTCTGCTGTGCGATGTAGGACGTATGATGGTACATTTATCCAACTTGAGGCAAAATCACAACAGAACGCGCTGCGTCTCGACCGCTGAACCGTGCGTCTATGCTTCCTGCTGCGCGACAGGCTCTTATCGGGTGCCCATTTTTTTCACACATGGCCATGGCGGGCGTGGAAGAGAGCAGACTGGAGGAAAAAGGTGTGGAAAAAGTCGCGAAGCCAAGTTGTACCTCTTGCGGGATTTTTCACGGAAAAATTCCACCAAAAATGACAATGTGTAGAGGCTCGAGACCTCAATAGACTTTCTCAATAGAATTGGCAATTGTTTCTAAGTGAACTTTGCTTAATATGTGAAAGATACTTTCTATAGCTTAGCTCATCAGGCAACAATTAGAGCACAATGCACCAATACTGCAAGGCAGAGATTCTATGTAAGGAAAGTGAGTAACTTACTTTTTCAAATAACCTGGTGGATATCCTCTGATGAAACCCATTCTGCGCATGCGATAAATATATTCAGGAATGTCATGTCTGCCTATACCAAGTGCATTACGAAGATCGTCGCTAATTCGGCCCGCTCGAAATTTCTTCTCGGAAGGTGCCCCGTCGTGATAACGTGTCCTAAAAAAGCCATATCTAACGATCTTATTCTCATATGTGAGAAGACTCGATGACTTCCGCAAAAAAAAAACTGAAAAAACCTACGTGTTGGTTCTATTTCGCATTTCGGTCTGTCGCTGTCGGATCTTTTTCATATCTTTTGGCTCAGGACATTCATTCAGATGATGATCGCCATCGCAGTTGAAACACCCGTTATTCTTAAACACAAAACTAGGATTGCGACTTTTTGTTTGGCTGTTTTTGGGCAGTTCGCCTTGCGAATGTTTCACAAGTATGCTGGGTTGTGAACGAAACTTCCGTCCCGCCTGGGGCGATAGTTTTGTTCACAACCCAGCACACTTGTGAAACATTAGTCGCCTTTTCGAAGACCATATCGCGTAGCCAGAGAAACCATGAACTTCATACGAAAGGCAATAAAATTGTATCACTTAGGAAATGACAACAAATTGATGAAAGAGTTGTGACCCAATAAAAGAAAAAAGAAACATCACACCACCTTCTTCGGAGTATTTTTCTTTGCAGACTGGCTACCATTATCGTCTTCTTGGCTTGACAACAAGCTGGATAAAATCTTCTCTTTCCAAAGCGAACTAAAAGAAGAATAGTAACACCTGTGTATGTACTGTGCTAAAGACGTATGTATTGTACAAACGTGGAGCTGAGCCCGGAATGAACAAAAGATCTTAATGGACAACTGGACACACTCCACGCCTGAGCACTGCACGGCACAGGAGGAAGATTTAAACGTTTTTTTTCTCGTATGGAAGCATGCAATAATTTATGAGCACGAAGAAAAGATCTGGTAAATCCAGCAATACAGTCGACAAACATTCAAGATAGCCTGTGAATGAAGTCACTCGCAAACATTGAGGCGCGCTCTTTACTTTCTTACAACAGCATGTCTGGCATTACCATATTCGAAGCAGATATTGAGAGCAATCACTCTGAGTGAGGATATTTCCAGAGCCCGAAGTTGAGTGTACGCTTTCAAACACCAGTCTCTTCAAATTGGGCCTGCGTACATAAGTTCATTCATATTTGAGCTGGAGCCCCTCTGCCTTGAACGATGGTGCACCGGTGCAGGGGCTCCCAGACAATACCTAACCATGTGGGCGCGGCCGCGGCGAACGCGGCCGAGTCGATACTGCCCGCGAACCGTTGAAAACGCACTCGAGGTGCCCGCGAACTGTGCTGTGCGATTCGCGGCTAACCTATAGACTCGCCGCGTAAGCCGCGCCGCGCCACACATGTTAGGTATTGATCTGGGGCCATGGTGCAGGTTGATAATGATGTAGAGGCTCGCGCATGTTCCTTGTGAACGCCCTCCACCTTGTATCGCAGCCTTTATCTCGATCGGAAGTGGAACAACAAACGCAGTAAATACTCCAGGCTAGAGGACTTTCACACCCAGGTACTGTTCGCAAGGAATGTTCGAATACCTCATTAAGCCGTTTGCCTTTCGTAATAAGTAGCGCACGGCAGTGCTTATCGCTCACTTTAAAGAATTCCAAAAGCCATTCAAAAAAACCTTCTTAGCCAGAAGAAAACTATGTAGACAGGAACGTTGAAAGTCACTTACTTGTCCTCATTTCCGGATGAACTCTCCAACACAGCTATATCTTCGGCGTCAAGGCTAATCGACTCTGTCCGATCTAGGACGAAGTCTCCATAGTCTGCCTCATTTCCTTTCATCACGTCGGCAGGCAAAAGTTGAGCAGGAGACAGCTTCCTAGAAATCCAACATTACGCAAAATTCTGGTATCTGGCCGACACTTGAATGAACAAGCTTTGGGTTTATTCCAGTAGGGGAATGCGGATTAGAGCGCTCACCATGTATCAAACCATGGGAAGCATATACTTCCAGTGTAAGGTTTTGGACAAAATCTTAGAAGGGAACGAAAACAAACGGATTCTGAACAATCTTCGTTTTCCCTGGAGGACTTCCTACCCCTTCCAGATTAAGTCCTAGCTACTCACGAGGTAAATATTACCTTCCTAAACGTTTATGTACAAGGACACATTCATTATGTAAAAGAAACCAGAATAAACAACCTAGGAATAAAACTGATCAGCTCGTGACCTTAGGCTGGTGTCAAAGTCCGCGATCCGTCGCGCGATTGGCGACGGATAGCTGACTCTGACACCAACCTAATGTACTCCTTGAGACAAACTGCCATCAGAGCAGACTGTGCACGCAATAATCCCTCTCTAATCGAATTATAGCCCTCAAGCTTTTGCCAATACAAATCTAAGATCCAGCAACGTAAATGTTGTGACCTCTTTTTCGTCTCAGGTTCTGGTGATGGTGTACACCGTCCCTCCTCATCGTCAGAATCGAAACGTGTACTTTGTACTTCTTCTGCCATTATCTGTAGATGAATACCTGAAGAATTTCATCGCAATTTTTACCATTCGGGCACGAATACCACATAATAAACGTATTAAACATGCTGGACCTAGGAGAAGAGAAATAAAAAGGGTAGAAAAATAAAGCGAATAAAACGAACAGGTATAATAAAAAGAAAAAAATAAAAAATGCACGTGATACTGTAAGAACAAACAGTAGCTCGCAACCGAAATCAAACATAAAATGGGACGCAATGTGGCTCGGGGGGGGGGACTTTGTAGAAAGGCCTCTCGAACTAAGCCTAGGCAGCAGGAACGAATTTTGGAGAAGACGAAAATTGCTTCCGCATACCGGAGTCTTTTCACTCTCCAAAGGCTTATCGTTAGCCCTAGAATTGAGCTTTTCCCTGATATCGTCGCGATGTTTCGTGGTAGCCCACCTCACCCCAGTCCCCCCCCCCCCGAGCCACACTGCGCCCAAAATGGACCGGACGACTTCCAAAAACACACTTGCCATTCAAATACAATAAAAAATGGAGGAAATAACAAAATAATGACTTGGATTATCATCCGTTCGTTTGCCACTGCATACAAATAACAACATTAACAACCTAAAAAATGACAGACATTATTGCAAGATCGGCGCGTCGTCTTGCAATTATGCCGTTGATTAACAAGCATTGTTCAGTTTACTGCAGACATTGCCAAGTCATACAGTACACTTTAATCATCCAGTCGTGTGGATATCTCAGTTGACACTATTATTAGTTATTACTAGTTAAAAAAGACTGTTTCCCATCTTGATGCTCCGAAGTAATTGTGCAGAAACTGAAACAGAGACTGGGCCTTCTTCTAAATCCCAAGCCAAGTTTAGCACAATTCCGAATTTCAATTGTTGGCGTCGCAAATTATTTGTCCAAAATTTTTATACCGCTCAGCAACTGCAGGGTTTTATGTAGTTCCCATCGTACTGCAAATCTGTGGAGAGAGTGTGTTGAACAAACGGAGCGTTAAAAACACCCTATACTCGTTCTGCTACTGTCCCATTTCACCATTGTATAGACGTCGACCAAGAAGTGTTGTGAGAAGAGGTGCTTTTCAGGCGTTCACGCTAGCCATTGAATTATCCCACAGTGGTTTCCTCTTAATTATTGCAATGAATACGGAGCGGCAATTCCTTTGTGAGGTCCACAGTCGGTTTCGCACTGTCTGACATATGGCTCAGTGGCATCACGCGCCACCCTTGAATGAGCGGTGTTAGTTCTGCGCCTGGGTCATGCCAGATCTGTGATGAATCATGTATTATCCGATTTCCGTGAAGTAAACTTTGCTCCAGAATTACACAGAGATCTGCTTTTGATACTCATCAATTCTACCACAGCACTCCTGTAGGCAGTTTCGCATGTGCTTCGAAACAGATTTGGTCACTTTTAGGCGATCGTCTGGTGAGCTTCTAGCAAGTGCTGTATTCTTGTGAATCATATATTAGGTTGGCAAGAAAGTCCGCAAAACTTTTTCAATTTTTTGATTTTAATTCTATCTATTTGTTTAGAACTGACCGGTCTTCGAGAAAGGAGGCGACCTCACTTCCGAGTTGGAGTTGATCGTCTGATTATTTCGCTAGATGATGATTAAAGGTCTAGGATAGGTTGCAGTCCTTTATAGCTCGACCAGGGGATTACGCTAAGAGAGGTAAGAAATCTTGCCGCAACTCCAGAATTTCTTACCGGCCTTATTTGGGATCATGGTGATTCGCAATGTCATGAAAGAAATGAATATTGTCGCGGTTCGAGGGCTCTTGACGAACTGCCTCGGCCAGCTTCTGGTATACCACAGCATAGGTCTCTACCTACACAATGGTGCCCGTAACCAAGGATATGTAGTAGGAGCCTCTGTAAGAGCCCTACCTGTAATGGAGTGTAGGGACGCTGCTGGCTTCTTATAAAAATATCAAAAGATCGGAAGCGCCGGTAAAGGTGAAACACGTTGTAGTGGTGAACGACATGCCTGTATACAGCTATTGCCGGTAGTGTGCCGTTACACGAATCCTATAGTTTTGGACTGAACTTGACAGTGACCTGGATAGTCGATTACCTAAGAAGTCGAGCTTTTTCAAAATATTTGCTTGTAATAACTCTGACTACAGGCACTTATAATCCACCTCGTGGATCAAAGCCAGAGAATGCCTCTACATTTGTTGGTCATAAATGTTTGTGAGTGTTCATAAACAAAAGAAAGTTTAAAAAGAGTGTCGCAGACTTCTTGCCAACCTAATATATTCCCAGTGCACACACCGCCAGTTTCCAAAATCACCATTCTAGACAGATTGTTTGCGCTATTTGCATATAGAACTTGTATGGCTGTGAAGGGTTCATCCAGTAAGGAGGGGCCTGTGTGCGACAGTTCATATCGCATGAAGAATAACGCACTTTTTACAGGAGGAACCGCTCTGGGCTAGCTGTAAGAGTGTAAACAGCCTGAGCTCCGCTTCGCAACAGCACCATCGTGATTCCTCCCTGGAAAAATTGGAATTTCTGTAGCCGGCTACTCGTCGCACAATATGCCCCCTTACTGGATGGGGACAAGGCCCCCTATTGACTATGGAACTCGCTTGTGTTTCCTAAGAGTAATGAAACCCGTCGAGGTGCCGCCTTCGCGATTGATAGCCGCGACGACTTACAAGGGAGGTTTTTAAGGACAAAGCGCTTTTTCGAAAAGGTTTTGTACATGTTGTGGGGGCTCATACGAGGAACACAGAACCATAATCCATTTTTCCTGAACGCCTCCAGGAATATCAAAACATTGATGAATAAATGGTTTCGAGTTCGATAGCCGGTGATGACTAATTTTTGCAATATAGTTTTTCGGCCTCAGATTGCGGCCAAATGGCTCCATCGTCGACAATAGATGTAATTGTCATGTTTTGCGGCATTGTGAAGTCCCCAACATAAATTGCAAAAATTTGTCATCATGGAGGATCGAACTTTGGACCATTTCTTCTCCCCCGTTTTGGTACTCCTGAGGGCGTATATGAAAAATATGAAAAATGGACCATGGTTAATCTACAAGTACCGGGGAACCATTTGAAAAAAATGCTCCATGTCCTGAAAGACCCTCCTTGTTAGATATGGAGGGAAATACCATGAAGTTCTGCACACCGTCCCTCACGTATTGGTGTAAGATCATATTCGTGAACTGTTTCGAGAACCGTCGGCATTATGTGCACAAATAGTGAACCGCTGCTTCAATTACACATCAAATCACTCTTTATCAACATCTATACCAAACAAAAAATGACCGCAACAAAATGCTGGGATGTATAACAGTAGCTCTTATAGCTCACATCTCAGCACACATCAAACAAGGAAATTGGTGTTGCCTACTAAATATTTCCTATTTGGCACTGCTGGAACAATCTCCACTCTCAAGACGTTCAAAATTCCACATTCTTTTGATACTATTAGGGACGATCATTGCGCAGACCACACTTTGGTGAACCTGAATTTTCCAGTTTTTTCGAGCAAGCTACTGTGTTAACCTCTCGGAGAGAATAGATCAACTCTTCTTTACCGAGTGAATAGTACGAATCTTGTCTTGGAGCGACACCTTTGGGCTAGAAATAGTTCTGTCTCACCCAGGGTCCACCACCAAGTCGTTAAGTTGATTACAACGACAACACTCAGAAGGTCTCCTTTTGATATTAAGGAGGGACGATCTGTTCACTTTCCATGAGTTCAATAGAAATTCTGATGGGACAAACTTGGTCAAAAAATGGGTAAACAGGCGACGGGGATGTGGTCCAAGTTGTGGCACATTCATGGCACATGAGGACATCAAGATGAGGGGTAATTTGCCAGCAGGCGCGCTCACTTTCATTGGGTCATCGGAAAAATTCTGGTTCACAAGTGAAGGTATCCCTTTCGTTACCTACCTTCGCTGTGACAAAGGTAACCCGCCTATCATGATGGTTACTGCAGGAGAAAAGGGGTAC